AGGAGAAGGGTATAAAAGTGTTCTCTATGTTTTCTTATTGTCGTCTGGATTGCTGATAAGTCAATGGCAGGGAGTGGAACTGTGTGCCTGGGTTTTTCTCTTGAAGAAGGGAGGTAATGCTAGAAAGTAAGTGTGTCATTATACAATATGTCCAGGTAATAGTCTGCATTGACGGTTTTTGTGCTTTTTTTTAATTCATCAGATCGTTGCTATGATGGTCTCATGTCAATAAATTTAATGGATATATTGAACTACTTATTATACAAATAATGCTTTGTGTATGGACTCTGTCTACCCTAATTGAAGTGATGTCTATTAAAAGTTTGAACATCCTTAAGTATTATCACTCTTTAATCTATAATTGTGAGTCATAAAATTATATACATTTTATATGTAGATGTTACTTAGAATATTGTTTTTTGTACTCCAGATCAGAAAATATCTATTCTTTCCTGTTTATTGTGAGAGGCATATCTAAAGTCAGATATTATAGTCATGATTTGCTTTCTACCCATGGCCTATACTAAAAACTACGTGAACACGAGGTAGCTTTTCTGTAGAGGATGATGTGTGTGCCGCGGGAATGCGTGTGCCTTTTCTCAGCAGTAAGATGTCTCATGCTGTACAAGTTCAGAAGAGAGATGGTAGTGTCACCTGTCACCTAGCAACAAGCTGACTGCTTTGTGTCTTTTCATTTTAAGTCAAAATAGGTGTGAAAACATGGTACTTAGCTTTGCATTTATCTCCAGAAATATTTAGATTAGCCTTCAGATATCTTTAGTTCCCAAGATAATTCACCAGGGCAGATAAAACAGAGATAACTTTACATGAAAAAAGGCAACTTATGTATCAGAAACCTTGCTACAGAGCAAGCCAACATGGATCTGTTATATAATATCTCAGACTTCAGTGCGTGCTGAGTTCCCTAATCAGCTTTAAAAATTATGGTAACTGAAATGAATGTATATATAAACCTTTATTATTTAACTTTTTAAAAATCAGACCCAACATGGATCTGTTATATAATATCTCAGACTTAAGTGCCTGTTGAGTTCCCTAATCAGCTCTAAAAATTATGGTAACTGAAATGAATGTGTATATAAACCTTTATTATTTGACTTTTTAAAAATCAGTGTTTGAAAACACAAGATCATAACTAATGAAGCAGTGATTTGTAAAGCTAAATCTAGACGACAGAATTCCAAATGGAATTGCTATATCAGTACCAGAATTCAATTTACTCAAAAAAGAGCGACTAAATTACATTTGTGCCGAGAGTGGAATACCCTCACTAGTCAGATGTCTATAAGCACCTTTAAAACGTGTTTCTCTGTCTCTGTTTGAAGATAGATACAGGGATTCTCAGAGGAACTAGCAACTAGTGAAACTTATGGGTCCTGAAGTATTTAAAATATATTAAACACTAACCTTTAATGATTCAGAACATAATAGATCATTTAAGATGTGATGAAGAGCCAGCACCCTGTTACCACAGGGTAATGTAATGCCTGTACCCTGAGGTAATTATTCCAAAGTAACTCCTTTTCCATTAAGGTAGGGAGCAGCCACTTTCATTCAGACCAAGGTCATTTCTGCGGTCCAGGGAGCTCTTTCTATTCTAAAGGAAGCTGGCTGACCATGTGTGCCAATTTCACAGGAAAAAAACAACAGAAAGTTAAGACTTTAGAAAACCATTCTCTATTGCCTGTACAGTCCCTATTTAAGAGAAAGAGGTGTAACAAGAATTTCTCCAGACTCTCCACTAAAACACGACTGTTCATCAGTGATTCTGGGCTGCAGTATTTTACTTTAAAAGTACATCTAAAATTCTTTCCAAAATGTAATAATTTATGTTTTTTCTTATTTGTCACTTTTTCTTATTGAAATAAGTGACTAACCCTTTGTTTTTCTTCACCCGACAATTGACAATTACTTTTGAAGCTGGGAAAGGAAGGACCAAAACCATTTGGGATGAGTTTTTGATGAGGACAGTAACCTTTAAAACTTCTGTGCCTTAGGTAGATATATGGATAATTTCACAAACCTATCCGGCAAAGCTAGGTAATCTTTTAATTAGGAAATTGATGAGATATTTCTTGTTATTGGAAATGTGCCATTTTCCTATTTTATTTCATGGCCTGATTTCAGTGTGGGTGTCGGGAACGACACAAAGGCCCCTTAGTGTGAATAAAATTAGAGATTCATCTGTTCTGTCTTGTTGTCTTAATTTAGGAAAATGTTTTCTTCCTCTTCAGTATCTGAGCTCTCCATGAAAGAGTGATTATTTTTACATATATGATAGCACAGATTGCTGTATAGACATTATTTCAATTAGGGTAGGTGGGGTAGATAAAACACGTAGTATTATTATCCCTGCTGCGGAGAAGGAAATCGGGCCTCAGAGAGGTTGAGTTGCTTAAGATCACGCAGGCAGTGGATGCCAACAGCGAGTCCAGGCCAGGTCTCCTCAACTGTAAACTGTCTTCACTTACTCTCGTTGGTGCTACTTACAGTGCAGGGGTGCAGGATGGGAGCCGTGGAGGCAGAGAGGGTCGTGAGGCGCCTCTGAGGCGCTTGAAATCAATGGAAGACAGTAGTGAGCATTGTGCCAGGCTTGTTCCAGGTTTAAAACATACAGAGGTGTACATTTAAATTAAACCGCAAAGAGCTGTGCAGTAAGATTTTGGGACTATAGGGATTTATAAAGACCCTGACCTCATCTCACTTGTTACCTTGAGTATGAAATTAACCTCCGATCTTCACTCTCAGATGGATCTCAAAATAGTTCATGTGCTCACCTCATAGAACTGCTTTTAGAACAAATGATATCATTGGGTTACTTTGTAAATCCTTCAATGCTGTGGAAATGTGTGATATTGCGTTATGTATAGTTCAAATAATATAATGTTTATTTTAGTCTTACAGATTAATTGTACCTAAAAAGACAAATTATATAATTACAGTCCTGGTTACTTGGGTAAAAAGTATCCACAATTGATATAAAGAAGAGTTTCCTTTATTTGATTTTTTCTGTCATTTCTCATTATTAGCTTTAGTCTTTCTCTCAACATGTATCCGTCAGTCTCCTAAATTTTTGCCAGCCCCTGTGCTATGCTGGGAAACAGCACGGGAATGGCACTGTGTTAACGGCACCCGTTCTGTCCCTGGTGGGAATACGGATTGGTATAGTCTGTTTAAAAAACAATGCGGTGATGTATTTTGACAGCCTGAACAAATTTATATTACTTCAATCCAGTAATTATATAATGACCCCCTGCGGAAAGAACTAACCTGGATGTGGCGCGGCTGGCTGGGGCGCCGGTGGTGGAGGTCCACGCTGGGCTCCCGTCGCCAGTCCCCGCCTTCTGAGCGGAGCTTTTTCTAAAGGGGGCATCCTTTCTGGTCATGCAATGTGTTTTCACATTTTAATAGACCATGAAAATGCCTATGGAATATTAAAATGTGAGAAAAAATTGTACCACCACATTTGGAGATATCAGGAGTCAGAATGTAAGATTGAAGCCAGCTTTGAAGTACTGGGTACCTTCTGCCAAGAACTTGGAACTGATTGGTTTAGATATATTTTGAAGACTAGAAAGGACAATATGTGTTTGATAAGAACACGTTGGTTTAAGTGACTTTTAAATTCTTTCAAGAGATTCCGTATTATGGCTTTATAATGTAAAAATAGAATTATACTCTAATTTCAAGAGAATATTTGTAGTCTGCCACTAGTATATTAAAATATTACATTTATATTTTATTCCTTTTTAGTAGCATTTCTAGTAAGAAAAATGAGGTGTGTTTTGAGAAGCAAGAGACATATACGAGAGACACACACACACGCAAAGAGAAACATTTTTAAACACGTATTTTATGTACATAAAATACGTGTTTAAAACAGGAATAAAATTAAAGGCCAGTTTCCCTTACAGGCTGAACCCATGGACTTTGAGAATTTTGCTACATTTCCTTTAGGGCGTAATGAGTGAGTGCGCTTTATCTGTTGTTGTTCAAAGGTATGGACACAATGTGAAGACAGCCTGGCCCACATGGGCGCAGAAGGTCTACGGAATCTAGGCGCGTCCCCTCTTGAGTGTAATTCCAAATTGGTGGAAAAAAAAATTAGCTGCGTCTAATAAACTGGCTTAAGTAAATGCCAAAGAAAATTTGCCTCATGAAATGGAAATTCTGAAGCAAGTTACATAATTCTGAGAAAAAACAAATAGAGAAGGACTTTCAGGATATATCCAAGTGGGGCAAAAGGTCCATTTTGATTAGGACTCTCCAGCCCAGCAATATTTAATTGTGCTTGGGAAGACCCAAATGGTCCCAGGGATTAGGAAGCTTTTAGAAACTGTATAAATATTTACTTTACATTTGTTTAATTTTTAAGAGGTGACATGTGTTAACTTAGATCACTTTTTATAAGTTACTTGGTTCTTGGCCACCATGGAGCCATCAGAAAATATTATATTAGTTATTTAAAAAAAAAAACAAAACCACTTCCTCTGGGAAACAGCACGGCTAGAACGTCTCTTAGTTGCTAAGAATAATGGAACCAAGTGCTTCCAGTGGGAGTATTTGTGAGTTCTTTTTCCTATATTAAATTTACTTTTAAACCACTTACTGCCATTTTCTCCTCAGGCTTTTCTCTCTGCTGAACCCCTTTTTCAGTCTTCCTTCCCCAATCTTTGTCCAGATTTATGTTATCTCATGTCCGGATCTGTCTCAGTTTGTCATAGCTGGTATTTCTGCCTCTCTTCCCTCATTGCTCCATTTTGCCCTTTAAATGGCTGCTAAAGAGCAAGCAAAAAACCCAAAACAACAAAAGAAAAAATTACTCCTCAGCTATTACTTTTATATTGCTTCACTAATTAAGAGTGTAAACGATGGTAGAATTAGGATTTTCTTTGTCTCCCTCCCAACCCCCATGAAAGGGTGTTATCAACATGTGGAACTTTTGTTTCATTATTTGTTTTCATATGCTTTTCTTGCAGGATCAATGTGACTCTAGAAACAAATGGATGAATGAATATCCATATGAAGAGGAAAACAATAAAGGTTGGTTAGTCAAACTGTATAATTACAGTAAAAATCCAATTTCGAACATGATTATTGAGCAGGTATCTCATTAGAGTACCTCTTATCAGAATACGAGACAGAGGTCAGTACTTAGACACACTCATCTATCTGTAAAGTATAATTTTGTTTTTAATCCCTTAAATATAAAGAAATTTATGAGGACAACAAACTGTTTTTGTGTAAGTCTACCTGTCTTTCGTTTCCAAAACTTACCTTGGTATTTTAAGAATCAACTTTTAGTTGGATGTTAGAAAATGGTAAACCACTTGATACAGCTGATCATGGGGACAAAGACAAAAAAAAACTGGCCAGATTTTGTTTAATATATATCAGTTCCTACAAGCATAATTCTAATACCAACACCATATGGTGTATGATTGCTGTGAAAAGCTGTTCTCTTGGTACCCACAGTCTCAGCTTTCCTTCGAAGAGTAGAATGATTTTGAAAGAATTTTAACTTCGGTTTCTCACGTACGTGTACCAGTATGAATTAGAGGAGAAGTGCTATGGATATCAACAGTGGCCAAAGGCTGGGTATTATTTTATTTGTGGTCGTTATTTCACATTTCCTTGAACTACATACTAATGTTAATATACAAATCATAGGCAATATTATTACAATATGTTAAACCACCTTCATCGCCTAAGGTTTATACGCTGAACGGGTCTGGTATATGTGCATGTGCCTTGCCTTGTAACCCTTCATTATAGCTGCACAAATTATGAATTTCATATTTTCCTTCTCCCAATTACCTGCTACTTTTAAAAAATTTATTTACTTATTCATTTGTGTTTAGAAAGAGGGGAAGGGAGGGAGAAAGAGGAAGAGAAACATTGATGGGTTGCCTCTTCTATACAACCTGATGGGAGATCGAACCCACAACCCGTGCATGTGCCCTGACCAGGAGTAGAGCCTGTGACCTATTGCTTTGTGGGACGGTGCCCAAGCTACAGAGCCTCACCAGTCAGGGCTACTCCTGCTACTTTTAAACAAACGTACATCATGCCACGCTTTTATTTTCCCTGCCAGCCTTTACTTTCAGTTACTTACAAATTGTGTTCCAGGTTATATCTTTCATTAAAACTGCCTTCCTCTCTCCTCATTGCTAAAATTGCTCCTTTCTAGTACATGCTTGTATCTGGACAATTTTAGACCTCTAGAGGGAGTATTGATTCAGAGGTGATACAAGGGGGACTTCTGAGAATAATAGTAATGTTCTTTTTCACGAACTCAGTGTTGCCCGTGTGGGTGCGCTTTGCGAGAATTAATTGTGCAGTGCGCTCATTTGTGCGTAGATGGGTGGTGTGCTTGTGAACCAGCTTGAGGGCTGGGGTGGGGAGGCTTGATCTGTAGTGTTCCTCAGTTCCTGTCACGTACGACTCCCTCTGTGGCTGACTTCAAAGGTTTAACAAGTAGCTTGCAAAAGTCCTTAAAATTTAACAATTGGCTCTCATGAGCTGGTGTTAAACTAGCACTATCTAGCACATCTTTGATAATTTCATTTACAAAGTAAAGTCAAACAATTTCACATACTCTTTAAGACAAATAGAGAAAAGTTAGTAAATTTAAACTTTTCTGGCTCATCTCTGTGTAAATGTAGAAACCTTCTTTACTGATTATCATGCAAAATATATTTATCCCTTTCCTTATATATGATGTTGATGTAATATTACTTTGTTTTTGTTCGATGGTTATTAAATTTTTATGTTTGAATGGATTAGTGTTAGCTTTGCAAGTGTATACATTCTGACAATGTCATTGTTTTGTAACTAATTTTATGATAACCGAAGATGATGGCAAAGAGAATCATTGTGTTACTACTTTCCCTGAGGATAAACTCTGAAAATATTATCATAAATGACTATAATATATTATATGCGATTCATTCTAAACGATTGTGCCTCGTAGCTTATAACTCATGAGTTCACAAGTGTTTAGAGAGGAAGAGCAGTGAGTATTTCACTGCATACGAGTATATATCCATTATTTCTTGCTCACAAATATCTGCATAATTTCTGGTCTGTATGCTCTTAAATGCATTTCAGCAGTTGCTGTCATTGTGAATGATGTGGCTTGTTTGTGAACCTGGCTCCATAACCTGGCTTTCCTCCACTTGTTTTCTAGCCACTGCAGTATGTTTACCAAGTGCTTATCAGCAGCTGGTTTAGAGCAGGTGTCCAGAACATACATATACATTTGTCCAGCTTATCAGAGTTCACATGAAAACTTCTGCTCTGTGACTCCCTCAGATGAACAGCTGCTTCAGCGATCCAGCAGAGCAAGGGGTGACTTCCACTTCTCGTGTTTGGAATCTGAGAGGACAATAGCAAGCCTTTCTGAGAAGGCTTTCATTTCTTACCCAAAAAAAAAAAAAAAAAAATTGTTTCATGGTGATGGACCCATTTAAGTGTGGTTTCTTTAAATTTCTTTTCCCTGGGGTTCTAAGTCTTCTTTCTTCACACAGGATAGAAAAACTCTAATAGCAGCCAGCTTTTCTTTCCTTTTGAACTAAGTCAACATAGTTGCTCAGAAAGCCCCGCTGGCGGAAATGAAGCATGTCAGCAAACGTTTATGTAGATAGCCGCCTAGGCCGCAAACATGGACTCCAAAGCGGTCAAGGCATGGCTCTGCAGTTCTGTCTGTATGGTCTTGGACCTGTGACTTCTTTTTGCAGCTGCAAAGTGGAACTAATAACACATGTCTACCTATTTCAGGAGTTGTTATGGGGGTGAAAGAAAATACAACATATTTGTGAAAACAATTTAAAGTTGTAAAATTCTTAAGGTGTGTATGGTATTGAAACAATTATTTTTATGGCACAAGGCAGAGACTCGTGACTTCATTGTATGACTTTATATCACAAAGTCAAACACTTTGAGAATTGAAAGCACCTTCAAAGGTCACTAACTCTTAACATGTGCTTGATGTGTGGTGGCCTTCTGTAAGAGTTGGCTGCTTTAGCACTATGTTGAGACCTCCTTGGAATTTCCTACTGCATGTGGCAGTTCATCCTATTTCCAGGCACATATAATTATATTAAAAGTTCTTCCACTTATTGAGCCAAATCAGTAGACTTTATAATGATACAAATTCAGGGGGTTTATCACATTTATTAATATCTTTTCCTGAGTCAGGTCACTCTTCTCTCAAGTCACTTCACCTCTGGGCATCTCATCTCTTTCTGGGAAGTTAGAACAAAATAATATACTGGGAGTTGAGAAAGATTATGCAATTATTGAGGTAGAATAGTGGCTTCATTATTTGAAAAGATGATGCATTGCTCATTTAAAAAACATTAAAGCATTCAAAGCTGTATCACCTCCCCTCCTCACACCTATTACATTTGGTGAACATTATTTACGGCATCTCTGTGTGTGTATATACAAGTAAATAGAGGCATTTTTTCAAAAACAGGATTATATTTATACTTTATATTTCTAAAGAAGTGTTATTTTTTTACTTTGCTTCCAATATAACGGAAGAAGTAGAAACAACTTAAAATGAAGGAATATATTAATTTCCAGTTGATGTCCTTTAACCAAAGTGATGCTATTACTTAAGAGTAAAAAGGAAAAAATTCCAAAGTTTTGAGTTCTGGTAATTCTGCTTTTTTTAAATGACTGAATTTAAACAACGTCTTTTGACTTTTTGCTAAGGTGGGAAAATTGATGATATTTCTTTCTAACTAACTTTTCTCCTTCTTGTTTTACTACCTTTTTAAAATTAGGGTTATTACCTTTTATTTTTGACTGTTTATTACAATTATGATAGCTCTTTCATGTTGTCTTATATTTCTCAGAAATATGGAAACATGGCTTTGCTGTCATCAGGTGTTACTCTGAAGGTTGAAGCCAACTGATCTTTCACTTGTTCTTGTTTTGCTTTTTGGTCAGATATCCATGAACTATTTTTAGTAAGTTAGAACTTCAGTAAGTTCATTGATTTTTGTCTGGTTTTTATCATTCTGTTTTGGTTTTTCTTGGCTTCTGTCATTAAAGTCTGAGAAGTAGAGTCTGTTTTCATGTCTTAAGATTTAAAATTATAATTAAAGTATACTATCTGTTTCGTTATCTTCTTTAATAACCCTGAAAATATATATAATGTTTGTCCTTGGTTTTCCATATTTATGATCTTCACCTTTAACTTCTTTTTTCTTACCTTGGTTTTCCATTAAATATTTTTTCTTTGTTTGCAGTCAAATTCTTTGTTATTTTTTACTTCCTGAAGTGGCTTTTCATCCTGGTAGTATTTTATAGCTCTGTCATCTTATTTTAATCAGTTCCAGTTATCTTGTATTATACCATTTGAACCCTTGTGCTTCTTCCTTGAAACTTTTTTTTTCAATATTTTATAAAAGACCCTTTTGTCTGTCATTCTTTTTTGTCTCTGAAGTGCGTTGTCTCCATTCTTCATCTGTTTACTTGGGTAATTTTTCCTGTGATGTTTGTTCTTCATTGACCTTTTGCTTTTGATATTTGCTGCTTTTCTGCACAGTTTCCTTGTGGTCCTTCTCTGATTGTACCCATCTTTAAACGGGGCCAGCAGTTTCTAATATTGCAAGTAAAGCTGTGGGCACGCCACGATCAGTTAGGCTGAGTTAGATGATTCCAAATCTTTGAATTGAGCTTATTTCAAATATTCTCTAGATAAAGGTGTCATTCCCAGAGTTTTCCCTCTGTTTCCATTGCACAGCAAAGCCTCCTGAGACAAAGGCTCCTGCCTCCCTTCCTTCTGCCTCCTCAGGAGACCCCCTCGATGGTGGGGGATGGAGCTAGCCTGTAAAATGCTGCATGTTTGCCTTGTTAGCACCACATTCTCTGCTCTCACGCGGTAAGCCTTTCGTAGCTGTACGGTTCTACCTTTAGGAAGTTCTGTGTCTTGATTGAGGTCTTAAGGAGGTGTGTGTCAGCTTCCAGGGACCCCTGAGATTTCTCAGGCTTTGACATGTATGCTTTGAGTTTCAAAGGAAGGGTATAAA